TTGCTGCAAGGCCTGAGGAAAGCACCTGAGTGTTGGTGGGATAACAGGAAGCCAGGATGAAGCAGAGCATGCGGGCTGGGAGCAGCAGGTGGGCTCTGAGGGCAGGCAGTGAGCTGGGCCTTGCTGGACCCTGGATGGCAAACCCTGAGTGGGTGAGATGCCACCAAAAAGTTACTCTCCATGCCACTCTGATGGTGGATACATGTATTCATTATACAGTTGTCCAAACCCATAGGACGACCACCACCAGGAGTGAGTTAATGTGAGACATCTATTCTAACAAAGGATTCAACTTTAGTGGGGGATGTTGACAGTGGGGGAAGCTATGTATGTGTGGGGACAGGGAGTAGGGGGGAAATCTCCACCTTCCCTCAGTTTTGCTGTGAACCTAACAATGCTCTAAAAAATAAAGTCTATTTTTTTAAAAAGTTTCAACAATGTCACCTCTTTAAGGACCAATGCATTTTAATGGTTTTTCAATCAATGTCCATTCCTTGGAATTCAAGGTGTGGTCATGAATGAAGTAAGCTGGAGAGCATGTTTTCTCCAGGCCACATATCTGTGATCCTCTACGGAAGATATGTTTTATTCGAATTAACTGGCAAACTGGGAACTGCTGTTTCATATCTGTAGCTCTTTCAGATGTATATATGAGTTGTCAGTGAAACTTCTAAATGTGACATTTGCAAACAAGTGAGGTCACAAATGTGGATTACAATTTACAAGAACTGCAGAGAATGAAAAGTAACAGTAATTACAGAAGGCTTAGGAATGTCTGTCTCATGAAATATTACAATAATTTTAGTTAGACTCTTAATGTTCAGTCTCCCTTGGCTCTATTTTAAAACTTAAAGCTAAATTCTCCAAACCCCACGCATTGCATCTCAGTGAATACTTAGTAAATTAGAAACCTGGAATAGTATAGGAGTCCCTGGCCAGAAAACTGAATTAGCCCTATAATCACTTCACTTTTTGGTGATAGAAACAAACTTGGAGAGAAACCCATCCTAGTAGTTCTTTATGAAAACAAACACAAAAAGCTGTTATTGGCACTGGGGTATTTCACTTTGACAATGGGACATGTGTGCCATAAGTCAATCAAATGTCTTGCAAAGGTCCCATAGTAAGTAATAAAGCCAGGACCATGCTGACATGCAAAGTAGTCACCCCTATATACTTATTTTTTCTACACTTAATTAGTATTAATTTATGGATTGTTTTAGCAATTTATTAGGTCTCTTAATAATAAAAGAGGCTTTCAGGGGAAAAACTGATTTCATTATTTTTCAATAAAATATATATATTTTTATCTGCTTCATTCTTTTTGGTACCCATTTAATTAATTACTTATCTTAAAATTAAATGTACATTGTGGAGATTATCTGCATTTTCCTAATACGAGAAGAGAATTTATATTCGTGGTCGCAGGATGAGTAGGAGTTAAATAGGAAGAACAAAACAAATACAAAGGGCATCTGAAGAACAGAGAAAAGGCCAGTGTGTGGACAGCCCAGCCACCAAGGAGGGCACCGGACAACCTAACAACAGAAGACTGTGGAGGGCGGCAGGGCAGGGCGAGGCCACACCAGTCTCAGTGCGCCTTGGGAGGATGTGGGAGCTTTTCCCTCGGTCCAAACGACAAGATATTGTGAATGGGAGTGCCAGATTAAGATGGCCAACTGCAATTCCACACTAATTTTAGCTTTTCCTAAACTCTAGCCAAAACTACAGTAAAGAGATTTAAAAAATAAAGGACACAAACCCACCCAACAGCGACAAAGCTATGGAAGCTAAAATGCAAATGAACAAGAAGTAACTAACTTAAGGTGTCCCATAGAGCCAAATCCGGAGCCATCAGCAGGAAAACTGAGAACTGGCCCGGTGAAGACTGCAGAGTCCTCAGAAGCCATAATAACCAAGTATGTCTGTAACTGGGAATGGCTGGGAGTAAATAAAATAATAAGTCTGGGGAGCTCTTTGGCAAGCAGTTTGGCTCCTGGGTACCCTCCTCTTCCCTCTCCACTGTCCTCCCCCTCGTCTCCCTCTCCTCCCCCTCCTCCCCGCTTCCCCTTTCCCCTGCCCCGGCTCCTCTGAGGAGATGAAGGTCACTGGCCTGTGGTTGGGCACTATGCACTCAGTGGAGAAACCCCAGGCCCTCCTCTCACCACTAAGGAAACTGGCAGCTGGACCTTGAACCCCAGGCAGGAAGTTCAAAACTCCCCCTGGAAAACCAGCTGAAGAAAAACCACCAAACAAAGAAGCAGCCCTCCAAGGTGACCTTCAGTGGCCAGCCCTGCCCACGGCTCTCTAATCCCCGCTCTTACCCAAGAGCAGATAGTCAAGGATTTCCAGGAAAGCCTTTATACAGAACAACAGAAATCCAAAGCAAGATGGAGGAAACACATCCTTTAGGGGGAAAAAAAAACCTAATCCAATCATTCCAACAACATCCCCTCATGCTTCTGTGTCATGGGAACAGGGGGCTATAGCAGAGCATTCAGAGAAAAAACCCAAACAAACAAGCATGTGCTCATGAAACATACCAGCACAAATAAGTTGAGAAAACTTCTGACAGTGGAGCAAACAGACAAATAAAAAATAGATCTGAGGGGAAAAGATTAAAGCCAGTTTAGAAGTGCCGTATTCACAGATTCACACAGATCAAGAAAGTAAAAGAGCAAAAAGAGATGGAAGACATTGTTTTAAAAGAAATATCCCAAAATTAAAGGCATGAGTTGGAAATGGCAGAACTAGCCAGTGAATAGAGGAAAATAGATGCCCACCAAAGCAGGCCACTGTGAAGTCTCAGAACAGAAAATAATATAAATTCCCAGAGAAGGAGAGAAAAAGAAAAAATGGGAGGAATGCCTCCAAACTCTGAGAATTCTGTTCCCAAACAGACCATCAGTGAAGAAGGAGGGTAGAACAAAGATGTTTTCACTCACTTGTAGTAAGAAGAAATGCTGTGAGCCGATGTCACTAATGGCTTGTCACGTTTTATGGACTGTGTAATCCGAGGACCGAATGCCAGACCCAGTCTGTTAACAGCTGGCTCATTCTGACCACATACTAAACAGGTCCCCAGTCCCTGCTCTAGGCCCAGCTTCCTGGGGCAGAGGAGAATGATCCATTCCCGACACAGAAATGCTGGGCTTGGGCCTGCTCCTGAGCTGGAGTGAGACAGAGGCAGAAACTATAAACCCACTGATTCCTGTCCACCTTCCCATCCACTACCTGGAGTTCATGCTACAACTCTGGCAGATGCCCAGACTAAGACACCTACTTTTCTTAAGATCAGCTCATGACGTTACCTACTCAGTTCTCTTGTAAACTGAGAAAAGGGAAAGCCAGCTGGTGACCCAGACACAGTCCAGCCATCTTCCCTGAAACAATTGGGATTGTGCTTGCTTCCTATGTTGTCAAAAGTAAATAATGCCCACCAAAGCATGCCACTGTGAAGTCTCACTCGGGAGAACATACACAGGTGGTATCACTATAAGAGAAGCAAGGAAATGATTAACACAAAAGTAGGGTGCCTGTGACCTGGCAGAACCAGCAGAGAGGGGAGAGGGGTGAGGGATGGGGCAATGGAGGCTTCTATGCTTGTGCCACCTCTGGTCCCTACACTGGAGGGTGGGTATTTGTATTTTTTTTCTATTACTCTTTAAACTCCTCACATGTGTACAGTATGTGACAAAATAAAATTTATTTCTCCAGGATGAAGGACAGGACCAGATCTGTACATTTAAAATATCCCTAAAGCCTCTGTAAAGGAAGTGAAGGTCACGGGAGTCCTGAGGGTCAGCTGGATTGAGAAGAGGCAGTGGAGCCAGACAGGTTACAAGTGAGTAAAATTCTATTTTTCTTTCTTTATTATTATTTTCTGCAGGGGAGGATATTATCAGAAGATAGAGGGAGGGAGGAAGGGAAAGGAAGAGAGAAATAAGAGGCATTTGGTCAATTAGCAAAAAAAAAAAAAAAAAAAAAAAAGCCCAAAATAATGATGTGCATTGTCAGTGATCACTATTGCTAACAACCTATTATCTTTATACTGTTCCTCCAGTATCGTAGGCTCAAAATACCGTAAAGGTCGTCATCCAATTAAACTTCAGAACACAATTCTATGGCTAGCTTCACAAGAGGTCTTTGCAAGTCCAATGATATAAACATGAAAAGTGCTGAGCAAGAAGGCAGAGGATTTGCTGTGACGGGTTAAAATGCTGGGTGCAGACTTCAGTGTAGGTAACATTCAGGATGTCAATGGCCCAACCTTTCTCTTACTGCATGTGGTACCTCCACACCACTTTCATTTCCTTTTCCAGATGAAACTGCTACGGCACTACAGAAACGTGCCCTCAGAACTGACAGTCTTCTGCAACCGCGCTGAGTGCTCCAGGGACGAATGGGCATACAGCTTTCCTCCCACATGTTCAAGTTCCGAATAAGAAGAGGTTGTTTTAAGGCTTCCTCTGACCTGAGTAGCCCATTCCAGTCCAGAACTTAATATTCTACTTCATATAAGCTTTAGGCATGATTTTAAAAGTGTTGAGAACCTGACTATGTATTTCTGTTGGGGTATCTTCCTTTCATATTCTACCGCTCCTGGAAGTAGGCCTAACATGCAATAGGAACTCACACAGTGTTTTCTGAGCCATCAAGGGAATTGAACCATCAAGACAAGCATCAGTTTCTATTATTTTTACTAAATAAATACCCAAAAAAGACTTGCTCTATTTTCTTTGTTTCTTTGGTAAGAAGAAGTGAAAATGAGATACATTATGGAGAAAAACAGTAAACCTAAAAAAAAAAAAAAAAGTCAAATCCTATCTTGTAATATAAGTCTGTGAAAATCACAAAATATAACAAAACATTTAAAATGGAAATTGGCCAAGAAGGTAGCTTTTTAAACAGTGGGAAATGATTTGATAGAGGAAATTCCCCCCTTTCCCCTGTTTGTTCTTGAACAAGAGTAGATAAGTTGCAATGAATTCCCATCTTACCTTAAATACTTCCATTGGAAGAGGAAACTTTGCAGCATCAATAAGGGATTTTTCCAGAGCATATTTCCATTCAGAGGCCATCTTCAAAGGATAGATTTCTGTATCAACAGCAAACCACATAAGAGTTAAAGGACTAAAATGTTCTGCTGGGTGGTTCTTTCCTGAATTTAATCTTCCCAGGATTTCACAATAAGCCAGCACGCTCAGCAACCACAAGTATTCACACCCTGTCCGCCATAAAAGGCCACCTGCTAAAGGGATTTCCTGAGGTTAAGCAGCAACTTGGGATTCTGCTTTCAGGAATGAAGAATAAACTTAATAGGGCTCTTCTTCGGGAAACATTTGTATGCATTCTGTTGGCATTCTGTAAGTAATTTAATGGTATAAATCACATTAGCCACATCTTCAGTCATCCATTGCCCCGAATTCCATATGCCCCGAATTCCGAATATTACCTGGGAAGCAATATCCGCTGATGAAGAACTTATTATCTGATAAATGGCTAAACTAGAAATGATTCTTGCCTGGCATTTTCAGTTATTACAGCATATTTTCCACTAAGTCTCTAAGCTCTCGTATGCTAAAAATAGTCCATGAAGCCAGAAAATTATTAAAAGGTAAATTAAAATTTACCAACCAAGTTTAATATTTACACTTGAAATGATGCAAATGAACCACATGTCGCCCACAGTTTTCCCCAGGCAGCAGGGGAGAGGGATTTACAAATGGGGGTTACACTGTCTGAATGCAAAAGAAAAAGAAAAAAATTGGTTGAGCACTGTTTGTTGTTCACGGATTGCTGAAACTGCAGGGGAATTTTATGATCTGATCTCAACAGATTTAAGACCTTATCAAAACAAGATTTGCAGAAGCACACACTTGAAGTAGATATGTTTATATCTTCCCTATATCAACCCTGGCTACCTCAGACAGACAGTTAGGATGTGAATATGAATCTAAGTACAGTTAAAAGGCAACATTAAACCTTTGGGGCTATGTTTTTAATTTCTTGCATGTCTGCTTTAGAGCATGGTGCCATATATTTTGATTCTCACCGCTTCTGAACTCTCCTTGAGCTTGAAGCCCCTGTGTTTTGGCAGTTTATTTAGTCTTTTCAGACCGCCCTAATGATGGTAGGCAAAGGATGCTGCCAGAACTAGCCAAGTCATCAATACTCTGCCCACATCATTCACTGTCAGTTATACAAAGGCACAGCAAGCTGTATTAATGACTAAATGTGTATAGTATCTTAGTCTTCTACCTCTGGGAATCCCCCCCCCCCCAATTTGGCATTTCTATATCAGAGCAACAAGAGAATGTGACTCTCCTTAGGAGTACTTAGCATATTTGGAAGAACACAGTGGCGCCCCAATGATAGCTCTGCAGAGATACCCAGGTGAGAAAGGGGTACTGTGTGAGAAATGGCTTATCACAGGGCCCCACAAAGGAGAAAGAGAGGAGTTCACAGAAACCCATAAATAGTCCCATGAGAGCTGGGAGGCTTGCTTGGAATGCCCCAGTGGTTCAGCTAATGGGCCTGGCATCAAAATCTCAGTGAAGGGGATGGCAATTCTATGGTCTCCAGAGGACACCGACCGTAGCCATTCAACAGGGCATGGAGGTGAGCAACAAGCAAGAGCTGTACCTCCTAGGGAGACCACAAATCACTTTTCCAGGGAACTAGAAGAAAGTTAATTGCGAGTTCCATGTTAGCAAGGTAGAAAAAGAGAACCAAGTCACAAGAAAAGATAGCGATTCCCAAAGACAAGACCAAAGGCAAGGTTTGCAGGCATAAAAGGGGGGGGGGGGGGGGTTGAAAAAAGTCAACCGTGTAGATGCCCAGAGCTTTAAAGGGGGTGGAGAGAGATAAGAGGGTAAAAGAAGAGTGGTAAAAACATTACTCAAGGCTGGGAACAATGGAAACCTAAATGGCCAGGGTTAGATCCAAACTATCAGAGCTAAGGGAAGTGATGTGCAGACCCCAAGTCATCCCAGATGCTCACTATGTCACCCAGAAAGCTGAGCCCTCAGACACCAGATGCCATATCTCCCCCACCAAAACAAAGACAAATGTAACAAGAAGCCCAGTGTAATGAACTGAATGTTTGCATCCCTGCTCCCAGATCCCTATGTTGAAATCCTGACCCCCAATGTGGTATTCAGAGGTGGAGCCTTTGGGAGATATCAGGTCATGAGGGTGGAGCCCTCAGGTTGAGATTAGTGTCCTTATAAACACACACACACACACACACACACACACACACACACCACACATACACACACTCCTTACCCACCCCTTGTACCATGTGAAGACACATAAGACAGCCATCTATGAACCAGGGAACAGGGCCTCACCAGACACCAACTCTGCCCTTCTTGATCTTGGACTCCAGGCCTCCAGGACTGGGAGAAGTGTTGTTTATAAGCCTCCTCATCTATGGTATTCTGTTACAGCACACAAATGGCCTGAGAATCCAGATTCCACATGACTTTTGCCTCTGTTCTACAATCTTATTCTCTGTCTTCTTTCTGAGGATAGTAAACCCTAAGGTGGAATTTAACCCCATGGCAAGGCACACTTCTTCTCTTAAAAGATGAAAATCAACTTCAGTTTGTCAGTATGCTCAACACCTGCAAAAGCTAAACACCTCGTGGTTTCAATAAGCAGAAAATTATATTCCATGTGTGCGTTTCATTAGATGAGAGGAACAGGATTATATTGGCCAGTTTATGGACAATAAATAGTACCATTAAAAGAACATAAAACATTTTATTAAGATGATCATGTTGCAGATAATTTAATAGAATGTATCATGTCAATTTCTATTGGTGGGGAAGTTGTAAAGCAATTAAAATCTGTCCGAATTCATTTTTAACTAGAAGCCTAAGTGAACATGAGGCGATTTCTCTTGTGCAAGGGTATGGCAGGCTGACTCGCAGTAAGTGCAGGAAATGAAGTGCACAAATCACCTTGAGGATAGATGCCTTTCTTCCACACACCCCGAAACCTCCACTCATTCCTTCACCAGGTTCTGACCAGTGAGGCAAGGCTAATCTAGGGTTGTTAACGACATTGGAAAGCTATATGGTCTGAATGTTTGTGTCCTCTTAAAATTAATGTGTTGAAATCCTAACCCCCATGTGACAGTATTTGGAGATGTGGAGTGTTTGGGAGGAAATTGGGTTAGTTGAGGTCATGATGGTGGAGTGGAATTAGACCCTTTTAAAAGAGGAGACTAATAGCATTTTCTGTCTTTCTCTTCCACCTCCTACACACACACACACACACACACACACACACACACACACACAGGAAGCCATGTGAGGAAAGAGCAAGAAGGAGGCCATCTATTTGCACTGAACAGTTGAGAAATATTTTGCCTTTAAAAAGTAGAAAACAAAGTAAAACTAAAAGAAGGACTATGGCCGAAACCAGTTTGGCTCAGTGGTAGAGCATCGGTCTGCGGACTGAAAGGTCCCGGGTTCGATTCTGGTCAGGGGCATGTACGTTGGTTGCGGGCACATCCCCGGTAGGGCGTGTGCAAGAGGCAGCTGGTTGATGTTTCTCTCTCATCGACGTTTCTAGCTCTCTAGCTCTCTTCCTTCCTCTCTGTCAAAAATCAATAAAATATATTTTTAAAAAATAATAATTAATAAATAAATAAAAGAAGGACTATGATTACTTTTAGCAGTAGTGGCAGGGTGAGTGGGGCGCACAGCACAGAGGGCACTGAGAGCAGGGAGAGCTCACCGGGGCTTATCTCAAAGTATACCTTCTCCCCCACCCCTTCCAATTCTGCTTCTCACCCCCAGTTAATGCAGAACACTTTTCGTTTATTTAAGGGTATTGGGAATAAATAAATAAATAAATAAATAAAGCCTAATATTTTCTATGCAAGTCTGAAATTTTATTTCCATCTATATTTCAGTTGAGAAAATAGCACTACCATATTAAGTTTTACAAGTCACACTGGGGCTTGAAATCAATTTCCACAAACCCAGAGCGCTGGGGTTATGATCCCATGTGTAAGACACGGGGAATAACTGCCTCCCTGGGATACTGCTCTGCTGAATAAGGTAACGGCATCCAGTTTTCATCTTGCAGCCCCTGCATTTGAAAAACTAAAAGTCACAAGTTTGAGTGTCCCTTTGGCTTTTATGTTTGTCTTCTCATAAATAACCTTTCTTGTTGACAATTTAAATGCTGGGAAAATAACTTCTTGCTGAGGAATGCCTTTCCCAAAGTCTTTAAAGACCCATACCATCTCTCCAATGAAATGGACAACTCCTGTCCAGAAAATTCCTAAGACAAATAAACACACTTTATCCTTATAAAAACATCAAATTATGTAGAAGAGAAGCGATCTCATATGCAAATGTTTCTACCTTGACACTTTTCATTCTTGCTTTGAGTCACAGGATTTCACAGAAAAGGGACATTTCAGAGATCCTAAGAAGCTACTAAGAATCCTTTGCTTTGCTATAAATTTTTACTCTGGCAAATCTGTATCTCCCCTAAAATTTATAAAGCAATTAGATACTAAGCTAAGATTTATACACCCAGCTTTCCACACAGAGTAAGTTTCTGCTACAGCACTATGACTCCAGAGGCAAACAGGAGCTTAGATCTCTCTTTAGAAGCCAGCAAGCCCTTTGTTTGTCATCAAAGTCCAAAATTACTCGGGGTATAAATGGATTTCTTGGCTGCTTCTCAAAACGTTGACAACAATAACACTCATAAAATACCGTGTTACATGTCTATATGCCTGTCAAATTCAACACAAATGCAAACTCATGAGATACAGAATCAGGAAGTTTTTTTGTTTGTTTGTTTGTTTGTTTTCAATTAAAGCCCCAGAGTGGCAGAAATAGGAAATGTAATGCCTCATGACCAACAGTGATAACTAATACAAGAGGAAAATCTCTGGCAATTTTAACAAAGCAAAGAGCCAAGTTTTTCTTCCTATATGCCTGCAAAATTCCCCAGAATGAAGATTGGCATTTCCAGAAGAAATACACATTGCTTCCTTGGCATCCTTAATTCCGTAAGAACCCAACAATTTGTTCTGAGGCTACCCATCCAAAGTTTGGCAAGGCCAGTAAAGGGCAGCAGGGGGGGAGTAGAATGGGCAAGGAATCTGGGATTTAATTGCAGTGCATCTCCTTACATGTAGCTTGGACAAGTAGCTTAAACCCAGTCGGAATTTTTTCTGCTGTAAAAGGAAATATTCACAAACAAGCATGCAGCACTTTTTTTGGAATAAAAATAAAAGCATAGCAGATGTAAAATCACCTGGCACACAATAAACATTCCAGAATTATTATTTGTAAACACTAAGATTACTTCCCAGTTAGATATGTCAGAAAACATAATGCACTATTCTATCCAATTAAGTCTAGAGAAAGTCACTTGGCGGTGCATTTGAAGCTAATTAAAATATCTGATATGTCAAGAGGAAAAGCATGGTGAATTTTTTTTCTCTTTGCTATTTCCAGGTCAGAAGAGATTAGACAAGGATAAGCATTTGTTTTGGATATTCTGATGGATGAATGGATGGATGGATGCATAGATAGATGAAGAACGGATGGATGGATGGATGGATGGATGGATGGATGGATGGATGGATGGATAGATGGATGGATGGATGACGAACAGACACATGCATGAATGAATGGATGATGGAGATTTGGGAACCTCCTTGCAAGACTTTTCCTCCACCCCCATCCTTCCCACAGCCCTCGCCCCTACCCCTTCCCTCTCCTCCCACACACACTTCAAGTCCCCGAAAGAAAAAGGGAGAATGTAACAAATCCTAATCTATTGTCTTTCATTTTTGAACCAGTGACTCCAAAGGAACTAGATGAACTTCTCCACAGCATCCAACACCACTTTCTCCTTTTGAAAAAGGATTTAATTGAGGTCTTGGGGGTTTAATTCTCTATAGAAAATACTCTCTTGGGTTAAAATGCTTAACATTCACATATTAATATATACAAGATACCAAAGAGCTCAAAAATTTCCAGAGACACATCCAAAAAAAAGCACATATTTTTCTCATATAATTCACAACAGCAAACATTTTGGCCCTTACCTGAAGGTGGGTCCATTCTGTATTTATTCTCTTGACACCAACCAACTGGTCGAAGTCTGTAATCCAAGTAAAACAACCACTGGTCATAGGATTCAGTGTCCTCCAATCCCACATAGCGAAGGCGTAATCTTCCTCCAACATTTTCAATCACACTAACTATCCAGTACTGAAAAGGGTTCTGAGAATCCTGAAGTTCTATTAAGGAATCAACTGTAATGAGGTCTATAGGGCCTTTCCCTCGCAGAGGCTGTTTAAACAGAAGCAAAACTCCTTATTTTAAACTTTATTTTAAGGTTCTCATGGAAACAGATGACAGCAGAAGATAATATTTTTTCACACCATCATCCAAGCTATTGGCAAACAGCCTGGTGTTTCCCTCCACCCCCATCCTTCCCACAGCCCTCGCCCCCTCCCCCCACCCTCTCCTCTCACACACACTTTTATTTACCCAACTTTGTCCCACAACAAAAACCACAAGTAAATAGGAAATAACAGTTTGTGCTATGTTCTCACCAAACAAATACCCTGCCTAGATAAAATTGTATTTGTTAGAAATGAGTACACTTTTAAGAAGTTATATTGAGCCAAGACCGGTTTGGCTCAATGGATATAGCGTCGGCTTGGGGACTGAAAGGTCCTGGGTTTGATTCCGGTCAAGGGCATGTACCTTGGTTGAGGGCATTTCCCCAGTAGGGGGTGTGCAAGAGGCAGCTGGTCGATGACTCTCTCTCTCATCGATGTTTCTAGCTCTCTATTTCTCTTCCTCTCTGTACAAAATCAATAAAATATGTTTTTTTTTAAAAAAAAAGAAGAGTTATATTGAAATTTGCCTTGAGCTAAAAAATGTGTGGTAGCAGAATGTCTACTTTTCTAATAGAAAGATATATCAAACATGAGACCATAAGTTTATACTGAGACTCAACAGACATGTATCTTAGAATGGCCACTGCAACAGTAATCAAGACACTCTCATACTTTGATTATGTGCATAAAGCATGAACATGTGTAGATAAAATGTTTGATACATAATGAGATACACTAAATTAGAATATTATGTAAAGGTATGTTTACATTTAACCTGATAGTTGGTTTAGAGAATAAATGTACTCACTGCCCTATCTTAGCAACCTTCTTAGCATATGTTAGCATAAGAAAAGTGTGTTTGTTCAGTCATGCTTGTAGGCAAATGTGTTTTTAAAAAATACCTAAAAGAGTAACACAATGTATCCTTTTGAAAGGGTCAACAATCGTCATTTTGACTTGTTAACCAAACAAATCAGTAGCCATTAAGATAAACAAATACACTAGGTAAAATCTTCACAGAACCAAACCCAATAACCCAATATATCAGACAATGATGTTCCAAAGTATCAATATCTTTTATGACAGGAGGGGAACTTATATATAGTTAAGGTTAAGAGAATAATGATATTGTCAACATCCACATTATATTCCTTGTTTTTCATTGTTTACCCCTTTTTCAAAGTCATTCGTCAAACAAACATGGTAAAAGATAACACATCTTTTACTACATATCATAGAACAGGAAAAAAATAAAATGTTTCATCATAAAATTATTTACAAATGAACCATCAAGATTTCAGATTTAACTATTTTTTCAGTACCATAAATTACCTTAATCATATTTAAATATGGTTAGTCACTTATCCTCTTGTTTTTATAAGAGAGGAGGTTAATTCGATTATTACTTATCATGTGCATAAAATCTCTGGGTTATGCATCCGGAATGAAATAGTTAATGAAGCCATTTATCAATATGCTTCCAGACCATACTAGTTTCACTTGTACAAAACAGTTATTCTGCAGGATTTTATTTACATTCACTAATAAAGGATAGAGGCTTAAACATATAAGATAGTGAGATGTCCTAACGTAGTATTATTTAAAAATGTGTTCACATAGAAGCAAATTCCCTATTTACTGACTGTAGCAAAGATGAAGATTTGCAATGCCATTAGAATCAGTAACCTAAATAACTTAGGAAAAAACAGTAAGTTAGGCTCTTTGGATATAGATACCTGTGTGTACGCATGTACCTGCAGAAGGATATATGCACAGGTGCCATTAGGTTTGAGCTCATGTAACTGTGATGCTTCAGACATAGAATAGCTGTAAACAATAATACATACACCTTCCAGAAGGTTAGCAGGTGCTGTCCGAGAACCAGTCAAATCACGAATGAGAAATTCTGTCCAGTCTGTGTATTTTTCTTTGATTGCTGGTGAGACAAAGGAGAGAAAACACTTAAACACCACTCAATTATCAAATAAACTTAAAAGGACAGCACTTTGCTGTATATGAGTATTACTTCAGTATTTCTCTTAATTTTAAGCACCAATCTTAAGTTCTAAAATCACAACAGCAAATCTATCAACCTTGGGTGAATTCATACCCACCAGGTGCCTAGATTTTGCTGGGCCTAAGGAGATCAAATAGGAGGTTCTGAAGTCTTGCAACTTATTTAGAAACTTCTGCGAACAACAAAGATATTATAAAGTATGTAATTCAGTTGGTTCCAAGAAGAAAGAGATCAATAAGAGCTGGCAGAATCAGAGAAAGTTTCCCAGGCGAGAAAATAAATCCAGGCTCTGAATTACTCAAAAGGTTTGTAGAGGCAGAGAAGAGGAAGAAGGGACCTTTATATTGACAGGAATGGAACAGGCTAAGGAGAGTGATGAAGTGAGGGAGGAAATGGAGAAAGACAGTCAAGTCCCTAGCAGGATCGGACACAGTGTGAGCACAAACAATGGGAAATAATGTTAAGTGGTAGAGTAAAATATGGATGGCCAAGAATGTCAACAGAGATGTTCAATAAACAGGAAATTTATGCATAAATTAATCTGGCCAGTTAAAAAAAAAAAAGTTTTGAATGGAAATAAGAGACTAATGGCAGGAAAACCAAGGGTAGAAGCTTCTGCCGATAAGAACAAGTGATAGGACCCGAATCAGGGGTGCAAGCTGTGAAAAAGGAGGACTACATCAGAGACATCTTCCGAAAACAGAAAACATCAGACCTTCAAGGCGAATATTCTACAAGTGCTTAGAACCCAAGACCTGAGAAAAATGTAATTTCTTGGCGTATGTACCAAGCTGTAGATTTCCAATGCCTTCCAGAGAAACATTCACACCCAGGAAGGCCCCAAGCCTCCCAGAGCACTACAGGGTTCACAAAATCAGCCACAGGCTCTGAGCATGCCCCAGATTCCCATCCACCCACATGCTGATTCTGACCTTCACATGACAGGAAGGGTACCACCTGTGTACATCCAACACTTAGCCTTGCTGAAAGATTCAAGCCTCAAGTGGTGTTTAGATTGGTTAGGTGCTCACAACTAAAGGAACAGATCTATACATATAAAAGGTTAATATGCAAAGAGCCCCCTCGGGAGTTCAACTGGAAGTTCAATTGTTCACTATGATATGCACTGACCACCAGGGGCTGGTGCAGAACAAAGGAAGGGCCTGGCAGGCTGCTGGAAGACCCCGATCAGCCCTAATTGCTGGCCAGGCCTAGCAACCCGACCCTATCCATGCATGAATTTCATGCACTGGGCCTCTAGTATACTATAATGGTGAGGTGGGCGCAAAGTCACTATGTGGGTAAGATCTGGGCTCCAGGGTAACCTTGCCCTGTTTGTTCAATTTCTCTTTTACTCTATCAGCAACGTTTTGCTGATAGGATGCTATAAGGATTTTAAATACACATATGTTCATAAAATATAACCATATATAAATATGAACTGTACCAATGGGGTAGAGGGAGCTAGAGCCAGGAAGTCTTTGGACTACAGGCACCTGGTTAAATCCTGTGACTTTCGGCACCACATGGGACTCCCACCTTCCTGCCATTCAAAGTCTGAGGCCTTTGAGGGACCCCTCATCGCACCCCCACAATGTCTTAGTAGTCACCAAGACTTCTTCAGGTTACAGGCTGATAGAAACATTTTGAAATGTCTTTTCTGTGCTGGACCTTCCTCAATTCTTTCTTGTTGGTCTATGTGTTTTTTATTCCATTACGATCACTTTACTGGGACCACTGGAGGAAGAAGAGATAAATAAGAGTGCTCAGCCCACTGAAGCTCCGCACTCACAAGAGAACTGGGCCTTTACAACAAGATGTGAGGCAGCGGCCTTTGATTTATCAGGGTAATGTTTCTAACACTGACTTCTCTAGAGAAAAGAAGAAGAAACAGTGAATCTTAAATTATAAATGAAAGCACTTACTATTAAGAATAAAAGACTACAGTGTTCCTTCCCTTGGAGATTTTTAAAAGAAAACCTATATTAATTTTTCAGAGGGTTTGAATTAAATTGTTCTCATAAACAAAAGGATATATCATGAAATGATTCAAAAGGATTGATAAGCTCCTACTATGTGCAATGGACCCCGTAACATACTACTAGAGCTCAAGCACATATATATATATTAGTATTCCTGTTCTTAATAATAAATACAGCCCAGATAAACATGAAACTTGTGAAGAATTTTATAAAAATTACACATACACAGAGACACACACATTCCTTAGTACTTGGGAAAGTTCTATTTCAACTTTAACACTCTTTCCATTGTACAAATATCCTATCTAATAAAAGAGTAATATGCAAATTGACCATAACTGCGCTACATTCTCAAGGAGCACCCACCGGCCAATTAGGAGCAAGTATGCAAATTAATCCAACCAATATGGCTCTGGCCACAGAGAGAGCAGAAGGTTTGGGTTTCCCTTAGCAATGGAGGAAGCCAAGCTTTCTGCCCCTCCTGGCAGGCCCAGGCCTCCACTCCAGGCTACAAAGTTTCAATTATACAAGATAAATAAAACCCAACAAAAATGGCAGGAAACCACAGAGTTGGAGAGAGCAGGAGGCTTGGATTGCCACTGGCAATGGAGGAAGCCAAATTTTCTGCCTTCCCTAGCATGCCCAGGGGAGCAAGCAGGAGGCTTGGCTCTGCTCAAGGCTACAAAGTTTCAATTATAGAAGAAAAATAAATCCCAGATACCAGAACCTCCACTTGGGTCACCAGGGTGTGTGGCTGGTCTGAAAACCACCACAGGCTCCTCGCTCGGGCTGCCCCATGCCCCAAGGGAACCCCCCACCCTGATCTGGGACACCCTTCAGGGCACACCCATGTACCAGGCCTCTATTCTATCTAACAAAAGAGTAATATGAAAATTGACCATCATTCCAACACACAAGATGGCTGCAACAATGTGATCAAAGATGACTGTCCCCATGTGGACACAAGATGGCCACTACAAGATGGCCTGCAGGGGAGGGCAGTTAGGGACAAACAGGCTGGCATGGGAGTGGTTAGGGGGTGATCAGGCTGGCAGGCAGAAGTGTTTAGAGGCAATCAGGAAGGCAGGCAGGCAAGCAGTTGGGAGCCAGCAGTTCTGGATTGTGGGAGGGCCTAAATGGGCAGTTGGACATCCCTCGAAGGGTCCCAGATTGGAGAGGGTGCAGGCTGGGCTGAGAGACACACACCCCCATGCACAAATTTCATGCATCAGGCCTCTAGTACTTGTATAATTACAAAAGACAGTATCATTATTTTGCTCTGAAGAACAGGCTTTAACAAAGACATTGGTGAAATTGGTGGAAGCAAAAGACAGACTTTTCACAGTGGTAATATTAGTTTAAAATAGGAAAGATAAGAACCTCAGAATATTCTCCATAATTAGACTACTTAATATTTATGTCATTGAAACCTTGTACAATATTTATGTAAACCCTTACAGAGAAAGGCCTTTGCTCTTTAACATTTTACACATTGTTATGGCATCATATGTGACTTTTAATGGAGATTCTGTCATTGGACGGTTATAAGAATTAAATGAAAAAAAATAAATATAAATTCTCTAGTAATTATCACACATTTACAGTATCAATCAAGCCTTGTAAAAGTGTTCTTTGAATCCCAAGACATAACAGCATAGAACAATAGACTGTAGGATCTCAGAGGAAAGGATGGGGGGAAGAGATCAGCCAAAGAACTTGTATACATATATGCATAACCCATGGACACAGATAATAGGGTGGTGAAGGGCTGGGACAGGCGATAGGGGGTCAATGGGAGAAAAAAGGGGACATACATAATACTTTCAGCAATAAAGATTTTTTTTAAAAAAGGTTCTTTGATAATGCAACTAACCATTCCTCCTTTAATGCACTCAAATACTTAATAACATGCTAAAATTTTTAAAAATCTCAAACTGATGTAATTGAGCTAATAATTTCTTTCAATCTAAATTAAAGTTTTAATAAACTTGTACATCAGATCATGAATACAAAATGATGACCATGGGTATAAAAATCACAGTACTTTATTAATTTGAAAATTATAATTAGAATAAAAATTCCTTCCAGCATCTGATGGGACTTTTATAGCCTTCTAATCATTTAATTTCCCTTCCCTAGTTTGGGTATTAATGCTAATTTTGCCATTATGATCACAGCATGAAACACTGACAAACTGGCAGCCCACACACACAAAAATCTACCTTATGGAAAAGAAGTTCTAATGTACACTGTTATGGGAATCCAATTCATTTTTAGCTTCTATTCCTGTTTCTTCATATTATTATAAAATTGATTACCCATTATATAGTAGTAAAATGCCATCTCTCTAAGTTTGGCAATAATATCTTAACACAACAGGATACACGGTACACAAAGATCATTATTCCACAGTCACTTATTCATGTTTTCATGGGAACAAGATCAATAGTGAATAGATGATACACAATGCTTACGTCAATATGAATGTTTACATACACAGCTATTTATACTTATTTTTTAATTGACGCTACAGAGCATAGTATAGTTCTTGCAGTCTACATTACTTCCTCATCCAAATCAAACTTCTGTTCTTGATGTTACACACAAAGCACACAGAACCAAGAAATACAGCACTATTGAGACCATAATCATAAAGCTCAGAATTCAAACCAGATTCCTTCACACTTATATTCCAATCTGGCTTAACCAGTTACTTTATAACTTCACTTACATCAGTAAGTTATTCCTACAATTCCCCCAATCACATCTTACTGAAAAATGAATTAATTCTAATAAGTTCTTATTGTATTTTATTATGCCTGTTTAAATAAGGCAAATACCTCAGTAAATATCAGTTTGCAGTACTGTATTGCTGAGGGGATTTTTGGAAATTGCATAATATTTTTTGCCAGCTCCTCAGAACGCACCCAGTGCCAT